TTCTGCTGACTCAACATCTCTGTTACTTGCGCCGCTGAAATATAATCCTCTTCTGCTTCAACATCCTCATTCGCTTCTGATTTATTAGCTCTTTTCCCTCTTGGAGGCATTTTAATAGTTGTAGAATTTGTTCAAAGACTTGAAAATGTAGAAGATGTGAAAAATCGTAGAACAGACAAGAGGAGCAGTAAAGACGTCTGCTCTCGCTTAAAGAGTAAAGAGATTACTATTGTTTGCAGTGACATTAATGTTGACAACAGTGCTTTAATTTTAAGCTAGATTACAATGTTATCAAATCAATCATAATAAAGTATATTTCCTGTGAATTGCCGATGTTTGAAGATTCGGTATGAACTGTATATTACTCCACTCCAAGTGACTAGTTTGAAATCCTAAAAGAGCCAAAAACACTTTTGAAAAGGTGAGAAAACATGATGACTGACAATCTACAGACCTGGCTGTGAACAATGTAATGAGAATAATTTCCTCTCAAAGTAAAATTATTAAAATGATATCTATTTAAAGAGGTAAACTCCACAATTATAACATTTATGGACAGAATTCATTTCAAAGTTGTTGCGTTACCTACCCATGTCCAGCCAGAAAGCCCAGACTGGAGGGGCTGACTTTATCACTGAACACCACTATCTCTATGTTGCGACACTGGTGCTCAGAGGAGGTGAGAACCGGGGGGCACTCCTCCACCACCCACCACTGGTCTGCCTCTTTCTCTGATGTCCTGTCAACCTGCTGAAGTTTGACTGACATGGGCCTGAAGAACGCCAGCGCCTGGAGTTCTGGGCGGACTGACAGGTCTGACAGGTCTGAGAGAACACAGCCAGGCTTAATGTACTGTAAACTGCAGGAGTTACATGTACATATACAGGACTGATCACTTTGATCAGCTGATTGTCTCTAGAGTCCAGCCCTCATTGATAAACCCAACAAAGAATGTAAAAAATCCCAAACTGAAGCACATATTGCTATTATAATTTCTGAAAGTATATCTGTAATATAGACATACAGTAAATTGTAACTAACCTACTAGCATCCTGGTTGCCATTTTGGACTCTGGTCCTTTATTACCCCTGATGAACTTTGGCAGCAGAGAGTGAATCATCCTACGGGACAGAATAACGCAGTTTAACATGTTTTTAGCTCAAAATGGAGAAAATATATTTGAAAATAAGCAATATGAATGTCTGGGTTGTAAAAGCACTGAGAAATACTTAATAACATACAGTATAACTTAAATGGGGTCATTATAATACATTTTTTTAGATGTGAGTTTATCTTAATTTTTTTATCACCTACAGAACATTCATCCATTCATTCATTTTCTACCGCTTAATCCCTGAGCGGGGTCACGGGGGAGGGGCCGGAGCCAATCCCGGCCAGCAATCGGGCGAAGGCGGGGTACACCCTGGACAGGTCGCCAATCCATCGCAGGGCTAACACATAGACAAACAACCACACACACGCACATGCACTCCTATGGGCAATTTAGAGACACCAATCAACCTAAGCTGCATGTCTTTGGACTGTGGGAGGAAGCCGGAGTACCCGGAGAGAACCCATGCAAGCACAGGGAGAACATGCAAACTCCACACAGAAAGGTCCCAGGTGGGGCCCGAACCTGGAACAGCGCTAACCACTGTGCCACCGTGCTGCCCCACCTACAGAACAAATATTAGTAAAAAAACAACAACAGCTGTTTGTGTGTGAAATGAGACTCACACAGGTTTGCTGCTGTTGCCTTTGAGCATGTAGATGATCCCCTCTCTCAAGTCCTTATCCTCAAACTTAACAGTGTGTTCTCCCACCGTCACTGCATTCTGTGATATGGACGCATTCCTGAGGAGGGCAGGAGAGCAGCATTAAGTATTGTATGTGTTTGGTATGTCTTTATCAGCTTTGTACTTCTGTGCAAAGAGCAGTCAAATTGTTTTAAAATGTAGTTTACAAACAGCTTCATAACATGTTTAACAAAGTGAAAAGATTCTGTGGCAGTAAATATTAAAAACAAACTAAACTCAAATCACACCAAATGTAGAGTCTTGCAGTACAAACAGGAACATTACATTTCATGTAGGCTCCGTGTACAGCTGTTATATCCATTCACATATTGACTATTAATCTGAAGCCTGTGTCTAAATGATTTAATATGAGGAAATTGGTTTTCCTTTCTTTGATACATAAAATAACAGATTGATGAAAACAAACTGATCAAAAATACAAAGCAGAATAATAAGTGGGAAAAAACCACTTGTAAACAAAGTATGAAAATGGATCTAAGCACTTAACATTTTAGAGAAACACATTTATCGGCACATGTGAATGCCTGGAAATGTAATTCAAACCAATATATGTACGTAGCATCCAAGAGCACATGAATTTACACATAGGCACCCTAAAAACCATATGCAAGTCCACTGATCCTGTTCTAGGGATCTGCACTGCATCATGAACCACACGCACTGACCTGAGCAGTGTCCAGCGTAAGGTCATGTATATGTGAGAGGAGTTACTGAGCTCCTCTATCATAGCCTGTCGACTGGCCGGGCTAATGCTCCACAGCAGGCTGGCATCACTCTTGATCTTAGCAACAACAATGTCTTCAACAAAGTAGTTCATTATAAACTGCATAGCAGACTAGGAGAGAGGGAGAGAGAGAGAGAGAGAGAGAGAGGATTAAATTTCCACAGATATCTTAATGAATAAAATCACAATCACAACAAGAGACACTTAAACAGCAATGTATTGCTGCCGCTATTTGTTATAATGAGATGTTAAATTATTTTGATTTTCTTGTGACAGAAAAAAGGGTCTTTGAAAAAATGACCGTTGGGTGGAAGATTTTACATATTCTTTGGAACTTCAACCACTAACTGAAATATAGTTTCACATACAGTATATGGCCAGAAGATGCATCTATAATGCTATCACACATCCTACAGTGGATCATATCATTTCCACTCCCTAACGCCCACAGCCTGAGTGTCAGAAGCACAGACTGACTTTACCTGTTGTCAATAATGCTGTGACATGATTGATCAGGAATTGTGTAGACAGTTTTTATTTATCACGGCTCATGAGCTGCATTTATGCTAGGGTTGCAACTGTAAGAGATCTTCATAATATAATAACAGTCTCAGATATTATGTTTCATGGTATTATGGTATACGGTATTACACAGTTACTATTAGTATCGTTCTTTTTTTTCAATACTGGTAATAAGCAAATGTGCATGATATGATAACCATCAATTTTCAAACCATGATATACCCTGAAACCGGTAAACAAGTGCAACCCTAATTCATGCATTATTTTGCATGCCTACAGTATTAGACTATGGATTCATTGACTGGCTGGAGCCCACCTCCTCAGCTCTCCTCAGCTCAGCAGCCTCTGTCTGGCAGTGCCCTCCCCTGAATCAATTATAAAACAAACTGGCTTAAATTCCTTAATGTCTTAGTAAGTAGTGACTTCTGGTTCGTACATGTATCCTAATTATAGATTATAGATCTTATTGAGAGTTATCTTTGACTCTTGGATCTCAAATTTGGTTCGATTTTAAATAGTTTCTGAAAATCAGCCCCCAGCCCTGAGATACTTCTCTCCTGTTATCAAGAAAACGTCCTCCTTGTAATGAGATACAGGGTAAGTAATTTTTTCTCAAATGGCAGTAATACGCTACCGTACATTTGAGACTCAACATGATGTAGTGTACAGTATTTAGCATGAACAGAATAAGAATTGTTTCCCCTCATGGCCAGAGCAAGTTGTTAAGATTAAGACAGGTTATACTGTAGTGTGATAGCTGGTAGATTATACACTTATATTAAGTACAGTCCTTGCCCTTATTGTGCATGGTTTTGTATTTGGTCTCAGCTTGGTGTTCACAATAAAATACAGTGCATCATCTTACTGGATGGGTAGCATAGATTTTGGTGAGTCGGTTGAATCCAGCTTCTGTGTACTGAACCAAGTTCTGCTCCTGGGCATTCATGGTGAACAGAGGCTGTAAAAACACAGACAGACCCACTGGAGAGTAAAACATACATCTACATTAGAGATGGACAATTGCAAAGGCATAACTTGTAACCACTGTAGTGAACCATGACGGTACTGCAGGTTCGCCACTTAGGTCTAGACTGAATAAACTATCATGAAATTTTCATTCATGGCCACCAGATGATGAAGTTTGATGATCCCCTAACTTGTCCTTTAACACCACTGTCAGGTCAAAATCTCAGTTTGTCTAATACTTTGATTTATGATCAAGGACCTACACATTCCCATCAGCCTCAGGTGTACTTAGTGTTTAGTGTTAAGTTTTATATGGTGAAAATGGGAAACATTATGCCTGCTAAACATTAGCAGCTCAGCTATAGTGATGATGCTGTTAGCGTTTAGCTCAAAGCACCACGGTGCCTACCTTCCCACTCATAAAACCATTAGCCTGACTGTAGACTCTTAGAAGAAGGGGGTGGAGCGGGACAATATCATCATTATATTAAATGATGATATTGCTGACTTATCCACAAGACACACACAAAGCAACAGAAAGCTAGCACATAGTTTAAAGAACATGTATACATCTTGACCTCGTATCCTGCGATGCTGAGCTGGATGGAGACTTCCACTGGCTGATTGGTCACTCCAGCTGCTGACTGGACCAGTGACATGAAGAGAAGTGGGAACCAGATGATGCTGATGAGAGCAAAGATGAGAAATCCTCCCATCCCATATTTCACCACCTTCTTCTTCTTCTGCCCTGGAGGGTGTGGGAATTTCTGGAAGAATGAAAAGAAAAATAATGACAAATGCCCTTTACAAATAAGAGCAATGTCTTCAAATTACTTATTTTGACAAATGGTCACATACCAAAATCTCATATTTCAGAAACTGTAACCAGAATATTTTTATTTAATAAGCCTCTGCATCAGCGATACAGTAGATGCGCCTTTAATATTACCTATAGGTCAGTTTCAGTGTGTGGTACTGTAATTACTGGGGGCAATACTTAATGATGAAATGCAGTAAGCAGTACTATGCATAGTTTCACTTACTTTCTCAGACTCCCTCCAGCATTTCAGGATAAATATGTTAGCATAGATGTCTTCCACACAAATCCAATTGGACAGCGACAGAGTGGTGTCGGTCCAAACCCAGTCCATCACTGCCCTCAGCTCCGTCAGGAAGGGAACCAAACGAAATCTAAAAGAGGAGACAAAAATAATAAAGAAATAATAAAATATGCAATGAAGCTGTTTTTAACATTAAATACCAAACAGAAAATAAATCCGAAACTCTTTCTGTGTACAGCATAGAAATGTGTTTCATACAGTGAGGTTACAATCACTGTATGCTGTTGATGGAGATATTTGCGTTAATTGAAGCCAGTGACCATTTTCATACCCTTGGAAGAGGAAAAGGTTCAGGTAATTGTAGTGCTTTGTGAGGAAGTTCCCCAGGATGCGGTTTGGGTAGCCACATTTGATCTGGTAGGCAGACAGGCCGAAGTAGATACACTTTACAAAGTACCAGATCTGAGCGACAGGGTTCCTGTTGAACCTCCTGTGGAGCAAAACAGACACAATCAGAGAAGGAGATATTAATGAAAATATCTTGTCAGTGTCTGCAAATCAGAATCATATTTATAATTTCTGATGTGCATTCCCTCCCCTCTCTATGATTTAGGACTCAGAAATTCAATTACCACAAAAAACAGGCATGCCAGACTTAAAACAGGGTTAGAATATTCATGAAGTTGAGGTATGTGTAGTGAAGTTAATATATTTCCAAAAAGGCATTGCTTTGTTTTATATTCTGAAATGAAAGTGAAGATATGGAGTTGTTATGAAGATGAAGTCAAACACACTCAATGTGTGTTTACATACAGTAAATGTATGCTCTGTACTGTGCACTCTCTTCTTTATTTATGATCTTATAGGAAAACATTGTCTAACCTTTTTATTTTTGTCACATGAGTTTTTATAAAGCCATTACTGGAAGATAAACCAAAATACATCTTTAAAATTGTACTATGACCAAACGTGAAGATAATCCTGTTGTTTTATAATTTATGTAATGGCCCAGCAGAGCACAATTTACTCTAAATGCATTCATACTTTAAACAGTACCATTTAAATTTGTTTGATTGTTTGTTTGTAGTGACATTGCACACCCAGTGCCACTTTAGTCTCAAGGTGTGAACAAAGTAAATGAATGAACAAAAATTTTCATTTCGGTTTACATAAATTAATTAAAAAGTTCATTGAACAAATGAGGAGAGATCAATTTAACTGGTGAAGCCTGACCTCTCAGTGACCCAAGGGAGGATGAAGAACAGCCAGAAGTGAATGCCGAACACCAGCACCACCTGGAAAACACACTTTCCCAGCAGTGACTTCTTCAGGTAGAGGGCCCGGTCCACTATCATGGTACCAAACTGGATGAGCAGCATGACCAGGAAGGCCTCTGGAACCTGATCCTCTGACAGGGACTCTGTGATGTCGGCTGCTGCAGAGTATTTCTACAGAGAGAAAAAGATCCAACAGACATTTTATATTGCATGTAACATGCATTTTAAGTGTGAACAGATATTGTTTAATAACATTAATTTGGAGGTATATTCTTGGTTTGATAAGGAACACAGGCTCTTACCCCAAAAGCCCAATATCCATATATGGTGATTATGAAGTTGACTACATCGATGAGAAACATGAGAGCGTAGACATCACACACAGGGCTGTAGTCTGGATGAATGATGTCATAGAAAAACTGCCTTATAGGCAAGTAGATATGAAGGGAGCTGTAGAAAAAAAGCACAGATACAGCATTCTGCAGCTCACAGATATCATATCATATCATATATGACAACATACACTTCTATGATGGCAGCTTTGGCCTGGAACATCCTCTCTTTGATCTGCTGTCGGATCCTCTGCTTCCTGGTCAGTGGAGGCTTGTTTCGCTGCTGTTTTTTCTTCTTGCTGTGCTGCTTCTTGAGCTTCACCTCTCCAGGAATAAAATGAAACATGAAATGGAGACATGTTATGTACAGTATAGTATAGTGACTGATGTCAGACAACAATCAGAAAAAGAAGAACAAAAGAGAACAGAAAAGAGCAAAGAAGCAGAATTCTCACAGTGGATTCATCCACACTACACATGGATAAAAACATCTCAATATTCACCCCCACATCCTGCAGAGTCTTCTGTTTTCCTTCTACAAAATATGGAGGTGGTCGAGGCGTGGAGAGGGAGGAACTTCAACCGGCGTGAAGGTTTCTCCTTGCTGCCCACTTTATCACCACCTGTCATCTTCTTCTTGTCCACTTTCTTCTTCAGCTTCTTGAAGAAATCAGGCATCTCAACCTCCTTGTTGTCCCACAGCCCGTGACACTGTACAGTCAGGAACACAGAGTTTTGGCAACATTGTTGGTGGTCCCTTAGAAGACATACAGTGGTAGATTTGAATGAGGAGATGAATATTAATGGTCACTTTTCATAGTTACCTTGAGGATTGACCGATGGAAGAATAGAGCGAGCAGCTGAATGAGGTCAAAAAGGACATAGCCGTCTTTCTTCTCTACCCCAACCATGTTGGGGAGGGCAAAAGGCCGCTCTGCGTTGATGCCTCGGTAGGTAGAGGTGGTCCAGGGGAAAAAACCAAACTGGGAAAAATACTTCACTACAACATTTAGCTGGGTAAAACACAGGAGAGAGATAAAGAGTTCTGGGTTGTGGATTAGTTTGTTTTGTTTTTTTTGGTCATTTAGTTATGACAATGTGATTGTTTTTAACCAGGGCACCATTGTGAATAAGAGCTCAATCTCAACTGGGTTTCCCTGTGAAAATAAAGATTGATGATGATGATCTGCTTTTTGCTGAAGTAAACACTGGTTTCAGTTATTTGAAACAATGTTACTGAGAAAACATACTGCACTGCAGGTGGCGGAACTGATGCGAGGGAACAAATTTTGGTTCAAAAACCCTTAAACTTGCATGTACTGTAACATAATACACGCTGTTGCAACAACCTACCTCTGTGTAGATTATAGCGGTCATCCAGAAGCGTTTGGTTGGTCGGGGCACAGACATCATGGCCCAGAGGAAGATGAGAATTGGCAGGATGAGGGAGAGGAGTGAAGCTGACACGATGTGGTTAAGGATGATGACAAAGTAGCACAGCATCTCTGACTTGGACACCATGGTGTTATAGAGGGCAAACAGTAGTTTCAGTGGCCTCGGCAAAGTTGTAAAAAACTTGATGGACTCTGAGATCTCATCATTTTCAAACATACTAGAGGAAGAGAATGGAAGAATAGACAAAGAGGGAAAGAAAGAAGAAGAGATGGACATCAACAGCTTGTCTCTCTCTCTTGCAAAAAATAAAAGTTGCTCATATTTTTTGCTCAAGAAAAACAGTCCTTGCGTTTACTGACTTGTTGAGTAGGAGCTCGCTGGCAGTGAGGTTCCTTGTTTCCTGACTTAGAGGCCTGGCTGATGACTCTGGGAGGTCAAGACTTTTCTCTTCATCACTCTCCCTGAAACCCGGTAAGCTGCATTCTGGATACTCAGCGTATTCATTGTCATCTTTCTGCTGTTGTTCCTCATCGGGATTTTCTCTCTTGACCTCATCATTCTCTTCTTCTTGTTCCACCTTCTCTTCTTCCTCTGTCACTTTGCATTCTTGGTCAGTTTTTCTGTCACCCTCCATTTCCTCCCCCCCCTCATCACTCTCCTTTGGTTCATGGACTTCTGTTGGAGGGGTGGCATCTTCATGGCTTTTGAGAAAAGCTTCATGTCAGAGATATTGTAACTTCAAGAATCAAGGATGTTTGCACAACACAACTATACCCAGAAGAAAATCTGCAATATTAAACTGACATTCTTTGGACATTTTAAGCATCTAGTCAAGGCAAGAGAAGGCATGTTTCTATTAAAAACAACAACAACAAACATTTGCCAGAATTAAGCTGCTTGAGCCAAGAAAAGAGTATTAACAAATCCTCTAACTAAGTGCAGCACAAGCAGATGGCCTCTTCACTGTGGTGGAGGAAGTATGCAGATACTTAAGTTGAATGAAAGTTCCAGAACTATACTATAAAAATACAACATTATAAGTAAACACCCTTCATTCACAACCTAGTGGAGTTAATTGCCTGTAGGTGTGAATGGTTGTGTGTCAGCCCTGCGATGGACTGGTGGATGGATGGGACTCTGGGTGCAAATTAGCTGCTGAGCTAACCCTGGCACATTTACACTGATGTTGTTAATGTCAGGTCTGATTAATGTGCACTGTCCCACATAAAAAACATTCTTTATTAATGATCATTTCCTGATCAGATCTAAGTTATTTAGTTGGAAGTCTCCTAGTCTTAGCCCGCTTTTCTGGTCAGAAATATTACAGTGATGAAACAAGATATTATAAATGGCCAAACTCTTGTGCAATGTCTTTGTGGAATGTTTAAAGGATATTACATATACTACAAGCTATGTTTACCACAGCAACTATTTTACATCTGAATGTATATATATTTACTTATACTGAATGTATAATTTACATATTTAAGATGCACAATCCTTGAAGCAAAGCTCACTTGACACTCAGTTCAAACATTCAACACTCAGACGTTCTGGTTTGGTCATTTTAGTCTTGGAATCTCTGCACAAACCAAGGATTTCCCCTTTACCTTGATGGAAGTTCATCAGTGTCAAAGGAGGTCAGGTCAATGTTGGCTGTTTTCAGGAACCGCCGTCTAAGCTGGTCAGCAGCAGGAGGCACAGCGGGAGGCTCATCCAGCTCCTCCTGGGTCAGCTGCCGGGAGCCCAGCGCCGTCTCATCTGTCATACAGCTGAAGGTGAGCAGAAGGGAGCGAGCACATGAGTATACAGGCTCTACAAGAGAGGTAGACTGTGGATATGCTGTGTGAAATGCCACTTAAGCAAAACTGCACCACTCACAGTAAGGTTATCTGTAATGCACGTACCGTACTGACACAGAGAAAGAAAGACAGTGGAAGCAGGGAAGAGAATGAAACCATGAGAGAAGTAAATGTGTGACTGACTCAGAGTCTAGTGACATACCTGGAAATGCTGCTGCCCCAGGACACTCTGGAAGCTTGGCTCTTCAGCTTGGCGTAGCCGTGGTGTGAGGAGAGGACAGTGGACGGCGAGGAGGGAGGAGGCAAGGAGTCGTCCAGGTCGTCTTGAGAGGACAGTGTGTTCTGACGAGACATCCGGCTCTCATAAAACTGCTTTACACTCTCCTGGCTCACCTCTTTGCCCTGAAGAGAAATATATATAATATTATATGCATATAATAGATCATATTTTACTACATGCTTGATAAATACTAGAATGGACTCAACCAATACTAGCTTTTGAAGGATGGCCTTTTTGGTTTAAACCTGCTGACAGCACATAGTATGTTCTCAGTAAAAATATTCTAAATCTTCAAAGGTAGGTTATAACTGCATGACAAAGTTATCTCTATTTAAAAATATATGTACAAAATGTACATGATACACTTTTGCCAATAACATACACCAAATACGTTGCACAGTTTCCATAATTTAACTGATGTGAATTTGTTACTAAAATACATACAAGTCATAATCACATAAAATGTTTGCTGAGTTTGGATTTTTCTGTGTCAACATTCAGCATGTAAAATATCAGTTTGATAGTGAAGGACTAACAAGTCTTTCAACAAGACATTTCCTAAATTAATAATGATCAGTTTCATTTCTTTATACCTTCTTTTGCTGCTGGTTCAGTAACGCTCGCTCAAAGCGCAGCACTTTGGAAATGTCCCGGCTGTCTTTACAGAACGAGTTCAGGCCCTCTGTCAGGTCGTCTAGAAGAGACTGAACAAACACCCAGCTGAACTTCAGGGTGCTGATGATGCGCTGCAAGATGTTTTCTGTAAGAAGAGAACATACGTGAGTAATGTTGAGTATGAATGTGCCGGTATACTAAGGTTTTCTCTGCTCTTGCTTAGAGCAATAACAAATCAGACAACCAGCCAGTCATAAAATAAACCTTTCTCTCAGAAGTTTACTTGTGAGAGTGTAGTTTGTTATGTGTTTACCTTTTTCTTCCTCTACCTCCTCCACAATGCTTTCTTCCAGTTCGTCATCACTAGAGTCCATCCTATCAATGCCTGGAAAATAGACTTTATTGTGAAATTATTTTTGCAGCCGGTCTGTTCATCCAACAACAGCAGAATATCGCCACAACTCCTCACCAGATTGCTGTCAAATTTATGATCCCAGAGAACTATTCCTAAGGATTCAGGTGAACTCTGGACCTCTCCTCAAGCTTCACAATCAGGACAAACTATCCATTAAAGTCTGGTGCACACCAAGGAACCAAAATATTTCTATCTGGGCTTCCATTGCCCCTTGTGAATGTTTGCTGATGCTTTTGGTGACCTGGCCTTTCCTCTGTTGCCATAATATTCATATTCACAAGAAATTCATCAAAAATATTAATCTGTTGAACAGGGTGAGTCAGAGTTTTAACTAATGGGCTTCTCCATTTTGGGCACTTTGAGCAGAAACCTTGGCAAATAGGATACTGTGTCTTATAATCTACAAGACAGAACACCTTTGTGTTTTCCAAGCACATTCATGTGTAAGAGAGTAAAGTTGTAGATTTTTTTGTATTGACACTTTCAACAAACAACAATATAGTAAACACAGTGTAATTAAATTCAATTATTTTAGCTGTTTTGGGCCATTTAGCAAAGTTTTCATCTCATGTGTAATAGTGAGAGATTTTGGTGTCCATACAGTAGCCACTGGAGGACATATTGGTTCCTGTGGGGATCAAACCTGTGACCTTTCAGTCTTAGAAATGTCAATAAATGTTAAAATCATCATCAAACTGTTTGTGGTGTGTGGGTGGCAGGACTGACTGTTACATTCAAAGATATGATTACACTCAGGCTGATTACAGAGATTCTGTGACATAAATGCTGCTCTCTCACTCTGCTGTCTTTTCAGCTCTCTTTTTGCTTTCTTTTTCTCTTCTTTCTTCATTTTCTTCCTCTCCTTCTTCAGGTCCTTCAGGGCATTTTTAGAGCTGGTCACCCAGGCGTTATAGGCCAGCTGGGGTATCAGAGACACAATAAGACACAGTTTGACTGGCAATTAGTGAGACAGAACAAACATTAAATCCCTTTTCAAGGGGCAGCTATTAGCCTTTAGCACATGGAAAACATTTAAAGAATGGCTACTTCGTGTTTCAGGAGCTGTTCTGGCTCTTACCTGGAGAGCAGATTTCTTCTTTGGTGGTTTCTCCTCCTCTTTCTTTTCTTCCTCCTCTTCTTCTTCATTGTCACTCTCAAACAGGTGATAGCCACAGTCATTTTCCACTGCATAAAACAGAGCAGTGTCAAAACTGTGTCATCACCATGAATATTGTTGAGCCGTTGAGCACCATTTATGCTATGTGACGTTGCAGCTCACCTCCAGGTTGAGAGACCCAAGGCTTCCACCATTTTCCTGCATCTCTCTTTGCCTTCTCCTCATCACCTGGGAAACACAGTTCACGCTGTTCAAGCAGGAATTTGGCTTTTCTTCCCCTTTAAGTATTAACAGCTGATGAGCTCCATGGGTCATATTATTATAGTAGTTACTGAAAATGCATTATAAAACTGGACTAAATCTCCTCTCATCAGCACAAAATGATCTTACATCATAAAAACAAACTCTTCAGTTATATCTGATATGTTTTTGCTGCAGAACTTTGTTTCTAAATTATATTGCATGGAATGTACCTAAACAATTGTGAGGGCGGTTGTTAATTAACAGTAGAAACAAAAAACAGATTCACTTGTGTTACCCAGTGTCACCTGCTCCTGATCAGCAGGAGATCCTGGTGTGTCTGACTGGGCAGGTCGAATCTTTTGCTTAGATTTGATCTTCTCCATCCTATAGGAAGAGGGTAGGCAGGTAAGCTCATTCCTTACTGTTTATTATTTTCATCAGAGGACAGTTCATTTAATCACCGTTTCACTGTCTGTATCTTACTGTTTCTTCAGTGTCTCCACAGATTTCTTCTCCATCTCCAGCCTGGCTGCTATCTGCTTCTTCACCTTGGCCTCAAACAGCTCAGCGCCCCTGGGATGTAGAGAGAGCCAGAGGAAAAGAACATGACTTTACTTATTGTTACCACTATCTATGTTATCATCGCTGCTTGTGTTTTTACTATTTTCATGGCTTGTACTTTGTAGAGCACTTTGTGAGTTTGTTAAGGAATAGACAATATCTTATTACAGTTATTTTGTCTATCATAATTGAGCTGTGTTGTGTATCCATGTTTTCCACAAGGAAAAAACACACACAGAAACCTCAGGTTGCATTAGAGAGTAATCTAAGTAACCTTGCCTAAGATTCTAGTTTCAACTATGTGATTTGGTACTAATAATAGGGAAAATAAAGGCAGTGCACAACTACTATCACACTGTATCTTCAAAGTACTAGTACCGTCATCAAGTACACTTGGGATTGAAACAGGAGGTTGAGTACCTGGAGGCCAACATCTTAGAAGACCTGAGGTCAGACACCACATAGAGGAAGTAGTAGCTGAGGAAGACCCTCCTCTGTGCCAGGAGGACAGTGAAACAGATCGCATCCCAGACGATGCCAGCCTCATCCTTCGGCAGCTCACACTTATCGTCACGTTCAGCTGAAACACACACAGAATAAAATAAATAAAGGTAACCTGGCAAAACAGTTAGGGGACACAGACACTCAATAAATTCCCTGTTCCCTTTTTTCAACATTCTCTTCAAACTATTGGTTTTCAGTCATGATAATACTGTTTGTGGGGTACAAGCATTTCTTTTATTGTGTAAGATTTTTTTTAAGGGTTTTGATTCTTATTTCAATAATCATACAACTTGCAGTAAATTTGAATAGCTTATTATATAATCTATCTATTATTTGTTAATTTTATCATTCTGTAAACAGAATGTCCTCAAAAGTATCAAATTATATGGTAATTCAAAGTTTTCAGTAATCTTTTTTGGGTCTAGAAATCAGATCTATGTAAAACAAAATGTATTTAAAGTATCTGACACTAGCACAGTCAAAACATATAATGCATAATGTATGAAAGCTACATGGCAGTGGCAGTATTCATGTAATATAAAACCCCACAACATATTTTGATCGTACACTATGACTATTATTCAGTGTAAATGTTATAACATCAATAATTCATATACGGCATTCTTGTTACGGGCACTTACGGATGTCATATGCTTTGATGGTGCAGAACATACTGAAGGCTTGAATTAACCAGCAGCCATTTTTCAAAAGGCTGTCCAGGTAGCCACAAGACCCGAGCTAATCACAAGAAGCACAGTAAAGGCAAAAGAGGCTATAATTAGCAGTACAGAGCTTGCAGAAAATGCGAAATAAATAGTTGCACTTCTTTTTGTACACGCCATTGCACTTTTAGTGAGTGGCAACTCACGGACAGCAGGTTTTTCATGGCGATCACAAAGCAAGTGTATCCGATAAGCCAGTCCCACAGTCGCAGAATGTATCTCACAGGCTGCATCAGCACGCTGCCACCAAACAACATGAAGTAGAAGCAGGCCACCAGGTAGCCCATACAGAAGATGTTGATCCGTGTGGTGCCAGTGATGAAGATGAGGCAGAGCACCAGCCAGAAAAAATAGCTGAAGACAAACACCTTCACCATATCAAGGTAGCACCTGAAAACATTTCACCAATGAGAAAGATAAACATGAAAACAATAGCAAAAGTAATTTTTGCTTGATAAATGAAATATACATATAAATAACAAATTATCAAACCGACTAATTTCCAGTCAATTAGGGAACTAATTATGATGGCTGTTAGATTGCTGTACATTCACTATATAGAAAGACATACTGTATGTCAAACCACTATATCCCATTTATTGATGACACCTATAGAGAAGGAAATGAAAACCATACAATCCACAGTCCAACTCAAAGACCAGCTTTCTTACTATAATACAGCCTCTTTGACATCAACGATTTGTCCAAGACTATGACTGATGTCAAATATTCTCTGTGGAAAATTTTGTTAATTTTCATTTCAGTAAAAAATTCTGTTGACAGTGAGATGGTAAAGGCCTTCAGCTGGAAGTGAAATAACAGCTATAAGCAAACCATGATGGAAATGGGAGATGTCCATGAGTGCTTATCCAGCAGTTTCAGTTTACCAGAACAGCATTCATGAATTTCACAACACATAAATTAATGATCTTACTCAACCGCTTCTAAAACAACCACAAACCAGCGTGATGGACTCCCAATTCTCCACCTGCAGATTATCCTACAGGCAGGAAGTTGTTTGAAGAGATTAACTAAGAGCTCGATTACAGAGTTCCCTGCTCTTATCCAGAGTCTATAAATTCAGCTTTTGAGCTGTGTTCAGAAAGAGAACAAAATATATCAAACATCGATTATATTACATGTATTTCGGATAGTATGGATAGCCATGAAAAATTCAAAGTGACATTCAGACAAGTCTTTCAAGTCTGAGGCATAATGGAAGTGGGACAAAAAAACTTTTAGAGAACATTAAAAATAAATAAACTGGAAGAGCAAGTATTAATATTTCTAACCTGCAGTGAAGAAAGTTGTTGACTGGTATGAACTGGTTGAAGGAAGAAGGATCCAGACTGCGACTGATCTCAACGTTGTCTCCGGCCAGCAGTCGCACTGCTGCTCGGTTCTCCTCCTCAAACACCTGCCACTGTAGAGATGAGCACAGCAACAGGAGGTGGTCATCTGCAGAGAGCGGGAGAGGAATGGCAGATATGACATGAGGAATTATAGACAAGAACTAGGTTTTACAGAGTCAGGGGAGAAGAGGAAAAACAAAGGTTGGAAAGAAAGACTCACAGAATATGAATGAAGAATTGGGGTTCTTGGCAAAGTCAGGCAGGTAAAACCACTTAATGACATTAGAGGTCAGCGGCTGAACTGCAGTCCTCCAGGGGTAATCTGACAAGCATATAAAATAAAGTGGAACAGAACAGCATAGAATGAGGTGTGCATCTTTAATACTGTATAAAATAGTACTGAAACAATTAGTTGACTAATAAATTAGCCAGCCAACAAAAAACCTATCATCAATTATGTTCATTATCAATCCAAAATTCTAAAAATCCACTAGCTCCAGCATGACTGACATCTGGATTCTCAGTTTTATCTAATTTTAAATGGAATATCTTTGGATTTTGGGCAAAAAAAACTATTTGGCCTTTGAGAAATTGTGAAAAGCTTTCATTAATATTTGCTGACATTTCATTATTGATTGTCTCCATGGATTTTCAATTTCTTATTCAAACTCAGTTGCTTTTAGGAAGATTAAAAATGCATCACTTTTTTCATAACTTTAAATAAATTGTATTATTTTATACAAAAAAATACACATATTATTAAAAATTCCATACCAGCACAGAGAGCGGGAGGGATGCCAATGCAGATTAGGTACTGCAGCACCATAAGCCCGGCTGTAAAGCAGCAGTATTTGGGCCACACTTCCCCAATAGCCTTCCTGCGTCGCCGAGACAGGACAGCCAATAAGGCACAGGAATGGAACAGGGCATAGAAGTCCATCCTCTGACCAATCACGTTGACTGCCACGATTAAACTGATCTGAGAAGGGCATGCATGTTCAGAGGTTAATGTCAGCTATGCTAAACAGTTCAGATACACATGGATGGATATGAACGCATACACACACACGAACACTTGAGTCATTAAAAAGTACCTCTAGTCCAAATTTGTAAAAGCAGAAGTTGATGAAGTACTTGACGCAGGGCAGGATGCCGAGATCCAGGTGCTGCCTTGTGATGCCCTGGAAGATTATACTGAAGGGTGGGGGTTTCTGGTCGTTATAGAGACGGAAGTAGAGCTGGTGGCGGTGGACAGTCGCCTCGAACACCAGCAGCCCCAGCACTGTCAGATGGTTCTACAACACAGAACACATTTTCTAGAAAAAAACTACTGAACTGGGACATAACCCAAATTCTCAACTGTCCAGAGACATCCTAAAGTATGTTCCTGCAATATCCTACAAATCTTAACAAAATGTTTGTATGGTGTAAAACAACTCAAATTCTCAGATGAACTCAATATGTGCCTCTTGAGTTAAAACTGGATTTTTATTGTGTCTTTGGATCTCTGAATTTTGTGGTTTTGGTCCTCTGTCTGAGATCTTCAGCATCTCATTAAAATTTTATAACATGGAGCCTACTTTCGCTGGTTATACCTACAGTAAATGAATAGGTGAGTCTATTAGAGCTTGTGTGATGGTCATGATTTACAGGAACAGTCAAACTTGGCAGGTACTTCACTGTACCCCGAGACAAGGAAGGATCCTGCCGTCACTCTTGCGCAGCGCTCCAACCCAGTAGATGGGGTCTATAGGCTCTTTGTAGAGAATAGACTTATTGAGCAGCTCCACCATGGTCTCCCTCAGCTCCACTCCACCATCAAGACTTGAGCTATTAGAAGTTACCAGGTCCTGAGATACAAAAGACAGGAATGTAAGTAGGAAGGTGAGAGTCACTGCCAACAAATATATAATTATGACAAAAGATGCCTGGAGCTCATGACAAAAGACAAAGTTCATACTGTTTTTTCTAGCTGTCAGAGATCCCATTGTGCATACTCACAGCAGTGCAGTTGTAGGAGTAATTAAGGGGTTCGATGACTTTGAGCTGGTAAAACATCTTGCACACCACCATGACACAAGCCCACACAGCAGAGATAGTGCACGCCAAAGGTCGTAACCGTGGGAATGGGAGCGCAAACACCCACAGAACCAGGAAAACCAAGTTCATCAGAGAAACCTGTGAAAATATAAATCATGATGGTTTATGTACTTGCATTTTTTCCTAAAATACTTGAGTGAACACTGAAATCTACACTTTACTTGAAACGATTCTTTCCACTCTGTACATCAACAAAGTTATCAGAGAGTAAAAAATCTGTCTTTTCTGTTTTCCCACCTCTTCCAGCGACACCCAAATAATGCCAGAAGAAACAAATTTGAGGCTGTGGAGCTCCAGCAGTCTCCAGCTGAGCTCCTGAAGCTTGCCAAGCCCTAACAGAGCCTTAATTGTCAGCTGGCCTACCCGGTCAACAATCACAAACCACTTGTCGTCACGACTGCTGGGGCCAGTTTCTAAAGAGACAGTACCAAGAAAAGGGAAGGAACAGAAGATGAGACATTAAATGAATATCGTCACCGCTATAGCTCTCACATGGCTCATGCAACAATTAATGGCAAGAAAACTGTCTACATTCCATTTCTGTATAACTGAAGAATAGTCAATAACTCAAACATTTTTAAAGAAGCAGGAATAAATAACATACTACTAATAACTAATTAACTAATGAACAGAGTCCTAAACATGCTAACACAAAACCAACACGTACATGTGAGTCATTCAAATATAAAACAGACATAAACTTGCAAAAGACTCAATGGCCAGAAATTTAAAGAGTCAAAATTCACATGATCAAAGTACTGCCAGAAATTCATTATTGGCAGAACAAAAAAGCAACACTGGTTTCTTGGAGAATATGGAAAACCAACTGTTGCATGAAAAGGCATAATTCAGTAGCAGTAACTGTCCCAACAAAAGGAGACTGCAGTTACCCTCTCCTGTTGCCTCTTCCTGCTCCTCAGCTCCTTTTTCTGAGGAGGTTTGAAGTCCGACTCTGTCCAGAGTCTCCTGACTTCTCCCATTTCCCATCTGCTCCTTCACAAGCCTGCATGGTGATAGTATTTCACATTTTTACATAATTACTGGAAAACTCTTAATCAGAGAAACTTATGATGACTGAGTAGGAAGGAGTTCAGTGTCAGGTTCAGGAGTACAGGTTGACACGTATCTACAGACTTGTCAGTTTTAATTAATACAACATGCCACCGTAGTATTTCTAAACACATAGATTATAATCCATGTAAGCATAGCATAAGTATATGTAGACACAAATATCAAGTCATTAGAAGTAAACGGTAAGAATCAAAAGTTGTGCAAGAGTCTTACCTTTTCTGGAACTTTTCTATGTTTTCTTTAATGCTGGGAATAAGATTGAAGACAGATGTGTGAACATTACAGAAATCATTATTAATATTTCTGTAACTGTGAAAAGTCATATTAACAAACTTATTTTTACTCGACCCAAGCTGGATTTATTTTTCTCCTTTAAGAAGCAGGCCAGCTCTTCCACATTTAAACACTGATTGTGATTACTAGATAGTGTGAGATACATTCTATTATGAGGGGTCTTTACTCAGTGTCCAAGCGTCTGAAGTGTGAGTGCAACAAAACACTTATGGAGGAATAAATTTATCTCTTACGTCTCAGATACCACATTAACTGTATTCCTGAGCTCTTCTTCTCTAGGTGGAGAAAAAAGAGGGTCAGACAAACAGTCAGAGCTTATAAAGCATGTACAGAAAAAACAGTAAGCGCTTCTTTTATGAAAAGAAAAAAGCTAATTTCATTCATTATTGGTAATGGTTTATTTGAAAAAAGTACTACATTTCATCCATTTACTTGCACTATCTCAAAAACAAAATCAGTAATTCTTCTATCTACATTTTGCCAGTGGCCCTTTAATAGTGACCAGATGTAACTAAGTATCTGTTTCTCAGAGTACTCTTTTGTAGTGCTTTTGTGCTTTTTCTTGAGTCACCTTTAACAAAGTGATTTTGATGGATATTTTTATATCAAGTAACAACATCTTTGAGCTGGATATGCATCGCTTTTCTGCACATATTCTTGCCGTCTCACCTGGAAGCCTGTCTGACTGGTACGTTGTTGAGGTCAGTGAGAGTCAGGAAGTCTGAGTTGAAGTAGTGCAGCTGGAGGATACAAGCCAAAAGGAACGCAGCAGGAAGCAGAATACGTGCAAACAGCTCTACTGTGCGGTATCGTTCCAAACCCAGGTCACGAAGACTAGAGAATCAGAGAGGAGAATCACTGATAAAAAGGACAGGGCTGCTGTAAGGTTGTAACAAAATTCTCTTGCATTATGCCCCAAAAGACTCCAAAAGCTAAAAAAAAACTTTTTGCTTCACAGTTGTATAACTCCACTAACAAGCCAAATTCACAGGAATGGTTCAGGTCACTGACCCTGACCTTTCACCAGCAAAATCTAATCAGTTCACCCTTAAATCCAAGTGGATGTGTGTGCCAAATATGAAAAAAGGAGTTTCTGAGATATCACATTCACAAGAACTGGACAAATATGAGGTTACAGTGACCTTGACCGTAGACCTTTGACCATCATAGTCTAATCAGTTCACCCTTAAATCCAAGTGGATGTGTGTGCCAAATGTGAAAAAAAGGAGTTTCTGAGATATCACATTCACAAGAACTGGACAAATATGAGGTTACAGTGACCTTGACCGTAGACCTTTGACCATCATAGTCTAATCAGTTCATCCTTGAGCCCAAATGGACACTTGTGCCAAATTTGAAAAAAATTCCTTCAAGGCGTTCCTGAGTTATCGCATTCACAAGAATGGGACGGAAGGATAGTCCATGGCTATCAATGGTGCAGAGGCATAAAAAAACAAAGCGTAACAATTCCAAACTTAGGCCACACAGAGACTCACCCATCCTCTGACATGCCCATGATCTGTCGAAACAGCCCAGACACACTTCTGAACTGGTACATATAGATAGCTATCAACACCAACATGGAATAACCAACCACCACCGCCCAGAACATCTTCAGGACCCGACGCCACAGGTTGTAATGAACCTGAGGGGAGAAGAAACAGACATAATACAGAGCACTTTTTCTCTCAGGCTACAGATCTTAACATCATTATTGGCCTCAAGATATTTTAACAACTTACTCTGCTGCTACGGTCATTGTAAATAAATTCCTTGTTTCTATATTTTATAACTGCTTATTTAATAAAAACACAGCGTGAGTCTGACCTACTGAAATGAGACAAAACACTTTTTTTGTCCTGAATGTTCTGCATCTCCCAAGGAAGTAGTTAAATTACGTAGTGTAGTCTTTAGTCGTCCCATCGCACACTCAAGTATATAAAACATCAGGGTGTTGCTGATGTTGTCAAAACAGACGAATTATGTGATTTTGTTATGCGTTACCTCCGCAGCCATTAGGCTTTCCTGTAAGTGCCTACTATGTTTCTAAAAGGTCAGCAGAAACATAAGATGGGGAAGAAAGACCAGGAAAACAGCAACAAAAATGGCTGTGAATGTGCTTATGAGTCATAATCAATACGTTAACTGTAAAATAGTATTGATTAGCTGTAGATATTGTGTTTGTGCGTATGTTCCCAAAGTGCAGGTAAGAATTATAAACAATTTCTGCACAAACAATAGCAAAATGATTCACTGATGATAATTTAACACAGGAGTCGATACATTACAGTATAAGATGAACATGAAGCTGCAGTGGCTTAGTGTGTTACACAACAGCAACTCAGCTATAAAACCAGGTTTCCTCTCCACTCAGTTACTCTTGCAATCTCTATATCAAATTTCCACCTTTCATCTACTCTACTATGTATATACTCAGAGAAGGAATGCATATACAGAAAGTCCATTTTCACACAAAGGAGTAATAAAATCTCTATACAAGATATAGGCTGTAACTTACAGCTTCAATGGAGAAGCTTCATAACTAAAGTCTACTTAATTTCAAAAGCCATACAGTGTACATGTGGCTGGCCTGTTATCAGTCAGATCACTAAAATCACTAACCTGGTAGAGGACAACACAGAAGAGGAAGAGGACAATGTAGAGGATCTTGTAGACGACCACCTGAACAAGTGAAACATGGTAATTTTTAATCGTACTGACAGAGAAAATGGTGACAAAACAAAATAAAAGTGGTGACAGGTGAAAAAAATACTTTTGCCCTGTGTGATCAAACATTAATAATTATAAAAATCATTAGACTTCTTCTGTACTACATTTTGAAGTCTGTGAATTGATACCTTTCCAGAGAAGCTGACCACAAAGAACATGGAGCAGCAGAAGAGAATCCAGTATTTCACCAGCATCCCTTTCACACCTGAAATCACCATTGCTACCACAGGTGATGGCTGATTTTCCTCACCTGAGAAAAGAAATATTATAGACATAAAGAGAACAAGGAGGAGAACAGTAAAAGAGTAGGGAAGAGAGAGGGAGAGCAGAAAGAAATCTTTAACATGATTTACGTTCTTCAGAAAGGTCTATCTGGAGTGTGTTTACATCCAAATGAATTTAGTCATAGCCTGGCTACATGAAAGGAGAATTTTTATTAGGTCTTACCCCAAACTAAATAACTAAACAACTGTCTTAAGACAGTGCACACAATCTTTATAAAACCCATTTTGAAACAAATTATGTGACATGACTTTGCCTTTATCTATAGATTCCTCCTTTTTGCTCCTCTCCTCCTGTCGCTCCTTCAGCTGCTGACGAAACATCAACCAAAAGCTGAAGTTGTAGCAGACCTGCAGCACACACAGTATAACATGAGTATAGAATATGTAGTGCAAACGCACTGTTTCACAATTTGCAATAATAAAACATCGTACAATCTCCAATAGTAAACATAGTTGGGATCCGACTAAAATTTGTGTAATAGAATCTGTAGAGCAAAAACGTTTCTCTGAACTTGGCTGCCAAAATAATAAGATGCAAAAATAACCTGTCATACAATACATACAGTAGTTCTCGGATTCCAGTGAGTAAGGTGATGAAAAGTTCTTGTTTGATTAGGTAGAAGAATGGTTTAAATTTAATTAAGTGCCTTTAAAATGATAAGATCTTTAACTGAGGTCACTATAATTAAAAAGAAAAAAAAATCTTTTCATTTAAGTCACTGTGCTATACTCTAGCTGACCTTTGCCCCCAGATGGACACAGGGCGCAGGGTGATAACTGTTCAGGTCGAAGTCCACTATCACAGCTGGGGGCAGACCGGGGTACAGCTCGGCCCGGCTCAGACGCAACCCGCTCATGAAGCCTAGCACCACCAGGACAGTGCCGTAGATGGCCAGGAAAGGGGCAGACATCATAGCGTACCGCCGCCGGTCTCGCATCATCCAAATTATACAGGACCACACCAGCAGGGCGAAAGTCAGCCAGTTGTTGTAGGTGATACTCCACACCTAAAAAGTGAATACTTTTGACATGGTTGCATCTTTACAGCCAAGTAACTCCTGCAGTGTTTCCACATTCTTTATCCATATATCACTGCCATAGTATTAGCATTATGCTAAACATAGAAATTTTACATTAATGCTGATATACCTATATACTCAAGTTATTGCATATTTGTTTGGTCACCATCATTATTCAAATAAACTAGCAAATAGCATGTCGAAGGGACAAGTATTTTGCTCAGCTAATGCTATGTGCTAACCTAGCTAGCTTAGCTGGCTAACATTTAGTTAATGATCCCAATTGAAGACATTACTTGGGGGTCAGGAGAATAGTGTGGAGCACTTTTTGTAATCAATAAACTGAAAAATAATTGACTAACTTAAATGTGAACAGATTTATCTCACAGCAGTCTACCAGTTAACTGTAGTATGCTGCTTTTAATTAGATTTTTTTAAGTTCTGATTTCATGTTTTACTATTTATACTTAACATTTATCTTTAGCTTTAGCTATGTCTGCTTATATTTTAACTGCCTTTATTTACAGTACTTTATAACATTACTGAGATAACCTATGCTGCACATACACCATACTATTTTTTTCTACATCTCTCTCTTCTCCTGTTAAATTCCATAATTGCACTAGATTGGTGGTTGCTACAAGATTCACCACACAAACTCAGAAATCTTCAGAAATCTGTTTTACCATCATGATAATAAGAGCGCTGACATAGCTGTGTTTTTGCACCAGCCGACCAAATATGACCAGACCACTTGGACCCGAGGGTGGAGGCAAGGTCCCTGCCAGACTGTTCTGGACACTCTCACTCTTCTCCTCCACGTCTCCCTCACCTCCTGCCTCTAGCACTAGTGTTAGATAGATGAAAAGATTTAAAGACTAAATTAGAAATAAATGACTTTAGTAAACAGGTCAAACAAAATTAGACTGATGACACTCATTAAAAGTTTGTGGACAAACCAAATATAGTTCTGTGATACCTGCTGATGTGACAGAGTTTAACATATGTATTGCTGATGTTTCAGGACACTACACAAAAAACAATAGTTGCTGAGGTAATGTATTTGGAGACTTGAGTGTGATTACCATGTAACGGCAAGTCTTTGCCTTCATACTGTCGTTGAGGGTAACAGTTTGAATACCCTTCCCCTTCTAACAGAGATGCGAGATCATTTCTATGGACATTTTCCCAGGAAGTGCTCGTCATTAAGATCATTGGCTGAAGAAAGAGAATGCATTTCACTGAAAGTTTAGGCCAGATAGGTTCATTTAAGTAATACCAAAAAACTGTGAGAATAGCATTAGGATTTTTTAAGAGTGCACACCATGGCCAGAATTTACAGTATATTATCACTATTCACATATCTCACCTTATGATCAGACTAATAAAAATGTGATTAATCTTCTCAACAAATTTACTTGCCTCATCAGGTAGATAGGTTTCATCATCTGTGCAGCTCAAAAGCTGAAAAAAGAGAAGATCTTGGTTTGGTTGCCTTTTGAAATGTTGATGTGTAGGCTACAAGTGAAACAATCATACATCTATGAAGTTATCCATGATTTATTTTACAGATATTATGAGCATACATTTAGAATGACTGACTGTCCAAATGCCAAAATACTTTTTTGTATGACCCATCAATATAATTTAAGAGAAAATTGTCCATGTTTGTAGATTTACCTCCTGCTGATCTCCTGAGATGTAGATGACCCTGGAGAAGCTTGGAGGAGCCTCTGGACTCTCGAGTGGACTCTCAGACTGCTCGGCATCAGTAGAGTCCTGAGAAACAGACAGCATAAAAGCTCTTCCTGTAAGTTAGTACTATATGAATACTGTGTGAAGCTAATGAGCCTGTGTGATTCTGCATTACAAATAACATTTGTTTATGCAAAAAGACTAGCCACTGGAAGGGAGAGTGCGACAGTATTCATAGAAACTTTTTTTGTAGAATTAGTGGTAGTAGAGGTACCACTGGCAGTTGTAGAGTCTAACTTATAACAGTGGTAGTCACAGTAGTAGTAGTATTTATGGTTAAAGAGGGCACTGTGTCCTGGGAAAAAGAGTTGAATATTTACTAAGTAACCCCCACCCACAGAATGGGAAATGTTCTCTTAAAATCCTGCCACATTGATGGTAACCCAACATTTAAAGTTGGAGCAGAGGTTGCAGCATTGTACCAGTAGCAGCTGCAGCAGTGGAAGCATTAGCTGGAGCAACAGTAACATTAATATAGTGGCAGATGTCATAGCAGTAGCAGTAGGATAGTGATTCGCCTATGCATATGCAATACTTTATACAACAACCTGTGAAGCACCAGTGTCTCACACATAAATTATCTATCGTCTGCGTCTGAACGAAATCCCCCTTGAAGTAAACAGAGATACACAGACCTTCTCTGTGATATGGGCCCATTTGTGCAGCAGAGCCACCAGTGTGTAGTACAGGAGCAGCAGAACCAGAGGGTTGATGAAGTCAGGCCAGCTGACATGTGGGTGTAGACCCAGAGTGTGCATGTCTGAACTGTTGATTCT